AAAGCACAGGACAGATAATGGGTCATCTTTGGGGTGCAGTGACCTTGGAGTCAGGCTGGAACGGGCTGGGAGGGAGTCTGTTCCATCTCCAAAGACGACCCCTCCCTTCCTAATTCCCAAGCAACTATAGCAGTGATGGCGAACCCTGAGTGCCCAAACTACACTTATTTATTGCTGGGTGCTGGGTGGGCATGGCTGCAGTGGTCATGGCAGACTGGATGGGTGTGGCCAGGGTGGGCATGGCCACCTTGATGTTGCTCATGGGGAGGAATGCCTGTGGTGGCTGGGCAGGGTTGGGGGAGATACAGGGGGTCTCTGGCAGGTGGGGCGGTGGGCAGGAGGCTCGTCCTGCAGGGGTCTCTTGCCTCCAGAAGCTTCTAGGGAAGGTCACCCAGTGCTATGGAGTTTGGTGATGTTCTAGGTTGGTGACACTTAACTCTAGTGCTGCCTGTGCTTTATCGAATAATAAATCTTCATGGAAGCAATCATTATCCTTGAACCCAGCCTAATTTTAGAATAACAGAATTGGAAGGGACCTTGGAGATCTTATAGTTCAACCCCTTGCTCAAGCAGAAGATGTTATACCATTTCAGACAAGTAGCTGTCCATCAATCAGTTTGTGATGCTGTCTATCCCACATTTTTCTAGCTTACCAAGAAGTAGGTTTTCATTTATTTTGTCAAATACCTTACTGAAATCCCAGTATACTATGTCCACAGTATTTTGCTAATTCACTAATTTGGTCACTTTGTCTTCAAGAGAAAGAGTAGGGCCTGTTGGTGTTTTCTTCTCAATGAGATTTCCATATATGAATCCTAAATTGGGGCTGATTTTATAATTCCTTGTAACTGAAGTGAAATTTCGTTTGTCATCATTCTAGAAATATCAATTTTTGCATGAGAACTGACTGAGAGATCGGAAAGTAATGGCCTATGGACTGCATCATTGGCTAAGAGAGAGAAGATTTTTTTTTTTAGTTTTCTTAATACTTTCTGTGTTGTCTTCCCATATTGATACAAACACACGGGTCTTTAAATATTGAAGTTTCTTGGTTTCTAAAATAAGCAGTGTGCTATGAGGTCTGCAGCTGAGATGATGGCAGCGCCCACAGTGCAGTGGATGGTGTGACTTGATTTCTTGCCACAACCACTCAGAAGTTGTTTTAGGACACCTTGTGGTAGTTCCTCTGGTTATGTAGATGCACTTGATGTGGTTTGACTCCTGTGTCATTCCCATCTCTGAGGTTTTGCCTGAAATTCCACTCCAGAAGACCTGCAAGTGCTTATAGTTCGGAGTCCCTGTGTTCTGGTTTATCTTGGTTGATTGTTGATGGATTATGTTTTTTACCTGGAGGGGGAATGTTAATATGTGCAGAGATCTGCAGAAAGAATATATCAAGAAAAAACAAATACTTTCCAGAAGGAGGTCTATGCTATGTTGCAACAAATCCAAACAACAATGATCTCAAACCACAAGGAAATTAAAAATAACTTTGAAACTATAAATGAACACATCTCCAATATAACTTTACAAAACACAATTTCTCAGAAAATAATAATAATAATAATAATAATAATAATAATAATAATAATAATAATAATAATAATAATAATAATAGTGTCAGGCCTGAAATCGCCGCTCCATGCTGCGCCAGTCCGGATGAGGCCTCCGTCTCCTCGCCTGCCTCTCTGGCTCCCAGCTGGCATTTCCTCACGTCCCGTGCGGTGGCGCTCCCTCCGTTTACCCTGCCGTCGGGACGACAACGTCGGGACGTCATCGGGCGGCGCCGGGCTACAGTCTGACGGGCAGACGGCACCAGCCTACCGATGCGTGGGGCGTGTAGCTGGACGGACGCTGGCCTGCACGGGCGCTGGGGCCATCTTTCGGGCGGCGAGCAGCTGAACGGGGCTGAGGGGGCGGGGACAATGGGGCGGGGTTGCACGGACGCTGGGCCTGACAATCCCCAGGTGTTTTCGCTGGAGGGACTGGCTGACTATGGGGGTGGTATTGGGCGGGCCTGGGGCGGGCCTGGGATGGGCGAGGCTGATGGGATACAAAGCACGCTGCAAGAAAGCAACTCCCAGGGCTAACTTTACTACAACTTTGAATAAAATTGTTGTTGGTTTGCCGTTCCTGTCTGCTGGCGTTTTGTTTGGGAGAACAAGCCAGGACGGTCTGACATTAAGTTAGCTCTCACATACAAACGAAACTACCTTCCAGCTGGCTGTGGTGTGTCCAGGTGTGCCCAGCCCCAGCTGGCTGTGGTGTGTCCGGGTGTGCCCAGCCCCGCAGGACCCTGGGCGGGGGCCCAAGATGGTGGTCAAGTCGCACCCCCGGCTGGGGACCAGTATGGCAATCCTATCGTGGCTCCTTGGCCTCAGGCGGTGCTGTGGAACCCACCACCCCTGAACGTGACATTTGACGGGGATCCTGACCGCTAGGCGCCTTGGTCATAGCTGGGACCACTATAAACCGGAGGAGTTCCCAATGGTTGCTTATGTCCATGCGTACCGGTTCTGTCACCAATGTGGCTGGGACTCCCCCCAACAGGGACCCGTCAACCTGTTCAAAACGGATGGGGGATGCCAGGCGGGTCACTCTTATCCCCACCTTGTGCACCACCTCCCTGCTGATCAGGCAACGGGTACAACCCGTATCGATCAGGGCCTGGTACTTGCTGGAACGTCCCGATAGGGGACTCGTCAGCCTGATCGGGATGGCAAAGGGGGCCACGGGTTGACTTACCATCGGGTCCTGGGCAGGGTCGTCTCCGTCGTACTCGTCCGGACATAACGCAGGGTCGTCCGGAGGGTGGGAGGAGCTACCTCATCCGCCTGCCTGGCCGCCCTTGACCTCTCCGTGTTCCTTCGTGGGGTAGTACCCGGCTTCCCAACCGCTGTTGGCGTCTTGGACATCGCTGGGACAGGGCATTCCGCTGCTCGATGCCCTGGTTGGTTGCAGCGGAAACAGCGGAACACTGCTTCGGGGTTAGGACTGGGGCCCATGGGTTTTGCCAACTTCTACCGGCAGTTTATCCCCTCATTTGCATCGGTGGCGCTACCATTAACACACCTGCTGCGAACCCGGCCCACAACAACAAAACCCCGTCCTGGGCAACCCCTAGCATGGTCAGCAGACTGCCAACGGGCGTTTGAGTCGTTGAAGGCTCTCTTTGCACAGGAACCCGTTTTATTACATCCGGATCCGGAACGCCCGTTCGTGGTGCAGGCCGACGCCAGTGATGTGGCGGTAGGTGCGGTGTTGCTCCAAAGAAACGCCCAGGACAAACTACAACCATGTGCCTATACCTCCCGAAAGCTCACGGACACCGAGAGGGCGTGGGCTATTTGGGAGAAGGAGGCGTTTGCGGTGAGGTGGGCGTTAACCACATGGCGTCATTTACTGGAGGGGGCTACCCATCCTTTTGAAGTGTGGACAGACCACAAGAACCTGGAGGTGTTCCAGACTCCCAGGCGACTGGCACCTAAACATGTGCGTTGGGCGCAATACTTTAAGCGCTTTCGTTTCCATCTGAACCATGTCCCGGGGGGCAAGAACTTCCTTGCGGATGCCTTGTCCCGACTACCTCAGTATGATAGCAAGAGACTAGAGGTGGTGCAGGCAATTATGCCCTCATGTGGTGGCGGAGACGTAA